GGGTGGTTGACGCGCTCTTGCCCCCGCAGAACAACCGGCGGTACGGCCCGGGCGAGTACCCGCGCAGGCTGCGGGTCTTCCTGGACAACAAGAGGCAGATCGAGCAGCACAACGCCGGCAACCACAGCTTCCAGAGTAGGAGCCGCTCCCCCGGCCCCCGCCCGCTCCCGCCTTCGGCCTCCGTGAGCGAAACGTTCCCCTTTCCTCCTCCTCCTTCTAGTGGGCCTGAACCAGTTCTCGGACCTGACCTTCGCGGAATTTAAGAAGCTGTACCTGTGGAGAGAGCCCCAGGTAAATCACGGGCGGGCGGGGAGGAGGAGCCCGGCAGGGCGGCGGACCCCGAGCCGCAGGGGCTCAGCGCCGAGCTGCACCCCTCTGCCGCGGGCCGACACCCCGTCGCTGCTTTGCCTGACATCGGCTTTGGCAAGCGCCATGCCCTGTCCTGCCGGAGCCCGGGAAGAGCAGGGTGAGCCCCCCCATCCCGGTGTTCAGCTGCCTCGATCCTGGCTCCAGCCAAAACATCACTTCTGCTTTCAGCTTTGCAGGTTGAGCTCTGGCTTTACGGGTACTTAAGGCCTGATCCTGACTTTTAGCGGCTCCCTGAGCAGCTTGGGCTCTGCTGCTGGGGCTGGCCTGGGTCTCCCCGGCTCTAGTGGCCGGCATGCAGCAGGCCATGGCCACCCACACGGCATGGGGGTCACGGCTCCCTCCACCCCGGGGAGCCAGGCGGGCCGCGGGCCACCATCCCCCAGCCCGGTGGCTTTCCACAGCCCTCCCACCTCGCTTGCAGAACTGCTCAGCCACGAAGGGGAACTTCCTGGGCAGCTCCGGGCTGTATCCCGACTCCATCGACTGGAGGAAGAAGGGGAATTTCGTGACGCCTGTGAAAAACCAGGTGGGGAGCATGTGCCACTGGCAGTGCACCAGGAGCCGGCTGGGAGAGGCGCTAAACCTCCGCGGGCAGGGCACCGGGCCGGGAAGAGGAGGGCCCACAGGGAAGCAGGCTCCTTTGGGAGCCCCGCTGGGGCAGGGGGAGGGCGTGGGCTCTGGGGCAGGGGACGAGTGGGCAGCGAAGCCTAGCCGCAGGCGGGCAGTGGAAACACCGCGCTCCTGGTGTTTTGAGGAGGCCGGTGACAGAGTAGTTCCCCTCCGGTTCCTAACACAGGGTCCCTGCGGAAGCTGCTGGACCTTTTCCACCACGGGCTGTTTGGAGTCTGCCATTGCTATTGCGACGGGAAAGCTCCTCTCTCTGGTAAGAGATTTTCCTTTCTGGGTGCTGATGGCAAGTTCTGCCTCTGGTTGTCTGCCTGCTGCTTGTTCCATGTCCAGCTGTAGGTGGCTGCGGGCGACTGTGGCAGGTACACCCCCACCCTGCAGACCACTGGTAGCTCTTTGCAGGCTGAGCAGAAGGCTGGGAGGTGTGGGGCAGCATGCTGGGAGCTCTGGGTACCCGAGGACATGCTGGTCGCCAGCCCATCTCAGGTCTGAGTGTCCCGCTGCCCCAGGCTTGGGCAGAGCCTTTTTGGAGCAGGATGAAACCGAACTGGCCCAGAAGTCCCAGCCACTGTGAGCAGGGAGGGTTAGCTAGAACTGTGTCCGGTGCAGCACGTTGTGAGACTGTTTATTTTTAAAATCCCAGAGGATTTATATTCTTGAAGAACTAAAAAGACAGTAGCTGCTCATACGACTTAGCAGAATAGCTGAGGGTTGAGTGCCAGTGTTAAAAACAAACTTGACCTTTGAAAGAAATCTCAGCCAGCACTCCTGCGGCGGGTGTGAGGAGGAATGCCTCTTGCAGCCGCCAGCTCCAGGTCTTCCTCATCCTCCTCCTCGGGACACAGAGCCGTTTGGCTGGGTGATTCCCACTCGCAGCGGGCGAACAGCCAGCTGGGCGGATGAAACCAGTGCTCCTTGGTTGTGTTTTGGCTTGCTTGTGCAGGTGTTGAATATAGACTGACTCAAAAAACTTTTCCGTAGGCAGAACAACAGTTAGTGGATTGCGCCCAGGCTTTTAACAACCACGGCTGTAGTGGGTAAGTACCATAAAGGATAGAAAGGAGAGTATCTTGTGCTCCATGACTGACAGCCTTCTCCAAGATCTAGTGTTGGAACCTTCCAGATCTTGGAATGTTTTTTGTTTTCCCTTGGCTGCGATGTGCCAGGGAAAACAGTTTTGGGTTTGGTTTGTTTACATTAATTTCGCCCTCCTTAGAGATTAGAATGTTTCCCTAAATCAGCAAAAAGCAAAAGACAGCATTTTCTAAACTCTGTTGTTCCTCTTATTAGTTTTTATTCTGATACTTGTTTTGTTACAATGTCTTCTGACATTGCGGTCGCAGGGGCTTTAACGCACTCAGGCAAAGCGAGGGGAGTTTTGTCTGTTGCTCTGCTCCTGAGTCACGCACATCTCATGGTGCTTTAAGGAACCCACAGAAACCTCTGCTTCCTGTTTGGTGAATTCCTACTGCCTTGCTAGAGAAGACAGAAAGTAAAGCTTTCTGAAATCTTCTGTTTTCTGTAAGAGAAGTGGTCCCTGAGGAATGCTCAGAGAGCTGAGCAAAACCACTCGGTGTTTTTTATTTTCTTCATGACTCCTCTTTAGTCCTTTCCCTGTGAGCGCGTCCCAATCATGCTCTTTCCTTTCCTTCCCTCCATGAGATGCACTCCCTGAAGGCGGCTGGGGAAGGACGCAGCCTCTGGGGGTCCTCCATCCTCCCCTGCACTGTGTGGCTGGGGGGGGGCCCAGCCAGGCCAGGCAGAGGGCACAGAAAAACACCTTACAGGGTGTGAGGCTGCAGGGCTGAGCTGGCACCACTGGGGCAGTGTGGGCAAGGCAGCCTCAGGGCTCCTGTGTTGGGGCCCTCCCTGAGAACCAGTCCTTCCCCTGCCTGTGCAGGACTGTGCCAGGTAGAGTGAGGGGCTGGGCCTGGCGTCCCAGGCAGGAAGATACTGCAGGAACAGACCGGAGCTCGTGCCTTGAGAGGGCCTGGGGTACACAGCCCTTACCTGTCCCCCAGCTTGTGGGAAGGGGCTGTAGGGCTGTGGGGGAGGGTTGATGGCTTTGCTCTGCAGAAGCCGAAGAGTTTCCATCCTAATTAATCTGCATTCTGGCTGTGTTGTCTTGCAGAGGCCTGCCAAGCCAAGCCTTCGAGTACATACTGTATAACAAAGGGCTGATGGGGGAGGACACCTACCCATACCGGGCTGAGGTATTTATTCCCAGTACAGCTCAGAGGCGTTTCTGCAGCTCAGAAGCATTTCTGTGGCGGCAGCGCGGGGTCCAGAACAGTCTCTAACACCGCTTCCCTCCTGTCCGCACAGAACGGCACCTGCAAGTTCCAGCCAGAGAAGGCTGTTGCATTTGTCAAGGATGTTATCAATATCACGCAGGTGAGGCCCTGAGGTCTGTGTTTCTGAACTTCCAGGGTGTTAACGTGGTGCCAGGCCTGACCTGGACAGTGCTCAGATACCCCGAGGCCACAGCACAAGCTGCAACTTGCTGGCTCCTGGAGAGGAGCAAGCCGCTGGCATGCACACGCCGATTCCCTGTTTCTGAGGGTGGCACCAGTGAAATGCCATAACCAGAAATCCAGGTCTCTGCCCACTTTCCACAGCGGGTGCACCTCCAGGCTGTGAGGAAATCTTGGTTCTTTCAGCAAGCAGCACCCATTTCCTTGTCTGCAAGCAGCATGCTGGGGTCAGCCATCCCCGCTGCGCTCTGACCGCTGGGCTGGGCATCCCGACTGCACCCAGCATCATTGGGAGATAAATGACTCCGGGATCCTCCTATTGCAGTATGACGAGGAAGGCATGGTGGAAGCTGTGGGGAAGCACAACCCGGTGAGCTTTGCGTTTGAGGTGACAGGTAACTTCATGCACTACAGAAAAGGCGTCTATTCCAAGTGAGTGTTTCTGAACTGGGGGAGTGAGGGTGAGGGGAAGGCATAGGGCTGAAATCACTTGCATCCCCATTTTTCCTGCTCTGCGGTGCTGGCCGCAGGGACACTGGACTGCATTTTTGTGGGGTTTTTTAAACACAAAATATAAAACATGAGTAAACTGAGCGTTGAGATACTGATTTCCCAGGGGGATGAGAGCACAGCACAGGGAAGAGAGAACAGGGTGTTTGCAGCCAATTTACTCCTAGGAACCAGTCCAACCTGAAGACTAGACTGTATTTGGAACAAAGGCCGGCAGTTCAGCGAGCTTGGGATATCCTCCTGCAGCTGCAGAGCTGGGGGTCCTGTCCCAGGGCAGGGGGCTCTGAGGGTGGTGGTGGGGGCAGCCCAGGCAGCACATCTGGTTTCCTTAGGGTGAGCCCAAACCAGTCAGTTTTACATGGGACTCGGGTGGCTCCTCCAGCGCTGGACCTTGGAGGGTGGCGAGGGGCGTCACTGCCTTCCTGCTGCCCTGTCCCTGCACAGTGTGTCTGCAGGTTGGGGGGTGATGGCAGGGTCCCTGTGTGGTCCCCCTGGCACCTCGGGCTTCCCCGCCTTGGCAACCAGAGGGGTAAGGAAAGCGGCAGATGAAAAATGAGCTTGGGACGTGAAGAGACTTAGCAGAAAGTCTCGAGTGTTGTGACAGCTGTATAGCCAAGGCAAGAAACTACTTAAAAGGCTGATCGTTACATTTTGGAAAGAGTACGGAAGCTTATCGGGGCAGGATAGATTTCTATTAGGCAGGAAATGGGGAAAGTGCATGTTTGGAGACAACTAGAAAAATACTTCGGAGTAATGAATCCTCAGTCACGTAGAACTGCAGGGAAAAATTAAACTAAGAGTGATCTACCCCAGGGAGCTGCAAGGGAAGGAGTGGGCAGCACAGTGAATTCCAGTGGCTTTGCTGTTGCAATAAACTAAAGTTTAAAGCAAGTCAGAGGTGGATGTAAGGTGTAAAAGCAGGTGAGACAGTCAAGACACTAGGATTCCGGTCTGAGGAATACACCAATTTTATCATGTAGATTTATAGTCTAAAGTAGATGCAAGGTCGGAGCATATGGAATAATGGATGCTCCAGTGGTGTTAACAGATTCAAGAAGAGTTAATCTGGTGTGGGGATTATAGATCTTTTGGTTATCTGCAATTTGAAAATGTTTTAAAATGGGTGCTCTGGAGATGGGAGTGTGTACCTTGGATTGACTTGGTTTATATCACAGTGGCAACTTTAATCAAGTGCAATTAAAAGTTCTAAATTCAGAGGAAATACAAGGAAACATGTATTTAGATGGAGAAACTAGCTGTTTCCTGTGCAAAATGCGGATTGGTGCCCCTGAACTTCAGGGCAGAACAAACCGTTACTGGGATGCACTAAGAGCTTCTAGTTTTCATTGGAAAAATTCCTTTGCTCATTTTTTTCATTGTCACACAAAAACAAGCTACAATGTTGATGTTAATCCTGAACAAAAGGCCAGACCAGGTGATCAGATCAAAGGTCCATGTAGCCTATCGCCCTGACTTCAGGTAATAATTTCTGAGTGAGAAAACAGAGCAGTATTGCCTTTTCCTGGCTTCCTGCCCTACTCTCCACAACTGGAAGTTCAGAGTATCCATAAGTTCTTTTTGCAGTTGGAGTGCAATTAAGAATGCTGGCTAATCCATGATTAATTATACGCGCTGCTTTTAATGTAACTCATCTGCATTATTTTTCCTTTTTCTTTGCAGCCCACGATGCGAGCACACCCCTGACAAGGTGAACCATGCTGTCCTTGCTGTGGGGTATGGAGAAGAAAATGGGACTCCTTACTGGATTGTGAAGAACTCCTGGGGCCCGCTGTGGGGCATGGAGGGGTAAGGAGGACCCAACACTGCCGGACCCACCACGGTCTTCCTGTACCTGGTCCAAGGACCATCACGAGCAGGGATCCCGCCCACCCTTGACAGCCCCAGGTCGCCCTTAAACTCTCAACCCGAAATTTTTCAGCTGTTTAATGTTCTGGGAAGATACAGGGGAAAACATCCCAGCGTTGGCAGCGACATGGCTCCACAAACCAGTCCTGGGGTGACTCGTTAGTGCAGATCCTTAGATGAATAGATCTGCTGTGTCACTGGGGGCTTGGCCAGTGGCTGTGCCAGGAGAGCACCATGCCTCTCCCGTGGTTATAGAAGAAGAACAGGTTGTGCTGGGAGCGAGTTTTCACTCCAGCTCTGCAAGTGTTTCCAGCTGCAAGTGAAATTTTTGAGAGTCAGGTGCTCACTCTGCTAGTTTGTGGTACAAGGGGGACGGGGAAGAGCATTGCCTGGTGAACAGCTGATGGCAACAGCTCTGCCACAGGTATTTGCTCCTTGCACTGGCGTGAGAAAGGAGCTTGTGCATAAGGAGAGCAGTTGCCTTATGCCACTCTCTCATGCTGACTCTTGGATGGGGGAACGCTCATTCATACACATTGTTTTCTCTTTTTAGGTACTTCCTTATTGAACGCGGCAAGAATATGTGTGGTCTCGCTGCTTGTGCATCTTACCCGGTTCCTCAGGTGTAAGAAGAGAGCACAGGCTGGGAAAAGTGGGCATAGGAGAAGGAATGACTGATCATATACGAATTTCTGAATGCTAAAATCAAGCGAGAACAAAATGAAATACCGAGCAGATGAAAGTTGTTATCTGCAGGCAGATTCCTCGGCTTGCACACAGCTTCTTGCCATAGGAAGACCTGTGCCTCCTCTCCCCAGCCAAAAGCAAGCGTGCTCCTGTGCAGAGTGCCAGGCTCCCGCTTTCTCCTGGCTGTGGTGCCTCACCCTGTCCCAGCCAGGGCCCCGTGCTGCTGCTGGGGGGTGGCAGCAATGGGGGACTCTTGGATGGTGGAAATGCCATGTAGTTACCTGATGTGAAGATGCTGCTCCGACACAGCTCACGCCTTCCTGTAGGTGGCCGTTCCCTAATCAACAGATCTAACTTCTAGGGATTTTAAAATTTTCTTTGAAGGCGATTTTTCCTTTCTCTAGAGGAAGATGGGTGCTGTGATTTGTATGTTTTACTTATTTTCGTTAAATGTTTTTAGAGGTTTTTTGGTATTAAAAATTAGGGTATTTTAATGCAAATTGAGAAGAAATGGATGATTTTATGATTCAAGCAAGCAGCTTATTGCTAACATAAACCTGTGACGCTGTGAGAAGGTCGTGTGGCAGTAGAGGGCGCTTGTGTGTTATTTCACTCTAAAACCGGCCCCTGACTGAATAAAGACAACTCTTCACTGCTGTGGTGTGTGCTCTGCACGGCCCTGGGCGTTACCGGCACAGTCACCAGGGGGGAAATGTGGCGTTAAGTCTTTCGGATCTCGGAGCAGGATCGGACCGCGTGGGTGTCTTGAGGAGGCACCGTACCCCTGACACACAGCTCCTATGAGTAAGAATGGCGCGCAGAGCGTTAAAACCTCCCCGCGGTTACACAGCTTCGCTTTTAGAGCCAGCTTTAAGGCGCCTGGGGCGGGGCGGCGGTGCCCGGGCGAGGCTGGCGGGCGCCGCACCGGTAGCGGC